TCATCTTCATTATCGGATTGTAAATTTTTTTTACCACCTTTTGGTTTTTTTCGCTCAGTTTTAGTTTCATGGTGAGTTGTTTCAGTTGTTTCATTATCATTAGTTTTATTTTGTCCTTTCTTTCCTTTATTTTTTTTCTTGTGTCGATTATCATCATCATCTGAATCAGCTGAAAGAGAACCTAAGAAGAAAAAAATATTTATGCTATTCAAATAAACAGAAAAAACAATTATACCTTGTTTTACAGATGTATGTTCACCATCACCATCATCATCATCATCATCATCATGATGTTTTTTTCCTTTATTTTTTTTATTCTTATTTTTATTACGTTTTTTATCATCATCTGAATCATTATGTTGAGCAGTATGTTTTGTTGTTGTTTTCGTTGTTTGATGGTCATTATTATCATCATTATCATCAGATGCTGTATGTTTTGATGGTACTACTTTAGTTGGTTGTTTAGTTTTTGGTGGAACATTTTTTTTCTTATTATGTTTTCGTTTTGAATCATCATCAGAATCATCACTAGCTTGACCGGCTAAAGAAAGATTTACAAGACCTTTTTCGACTTGTTCGAGACGTTGTGCACGTTTTGAAGCCATATATAAATCGATCTGAAAAATATGAATTAGTCAAGAATAGAACACCTTTTATTATAAAGCGAGCAATTAATTACGTAAGAAAAGATTGGGATAAATATTTTTCATAATAATGAAGAAGAAAAAGAAATTGTTTTCTTAGTCATTTACGATATTATTTACTGGTTTATTTCATAGTCCACCGAAGCTTTGCATATCATCAGAGGTCACTAGTTTACAGTTTGGATTGTTATAAATAAATAAAAAAATATTGAAAAAAGTTCCGTCCTGTAATACAGTTGCCAAATGATTGAAAAGATTTCGAAAAAGACGAGTAGAAATTGAAGATGAACTACGACTTGGTCAGTCTGCAATCGAAACAAATTCTGAAATATTGAAGAAGTTCACTGCCTAATTAACAAACTAACAACTGGTGACTAGTATCAATCGTGATGTTATTGAGCGCATAATTTCTGACCTTCTTCAGCTGGCGAAAGTCCATTAGAGACAAGTGACGAGTCATGGATGTATCATATACAAATTAATCAAAATTTATTAAATACTGCCTGAACACCAGCTAGAGAAAGTTCATCTATTGTGATTCGATGTACTTGATTTGCTGCAAAAACTATATTTCGTTTCTTTTGAAAAGTGACTAACTTTGTCTTAATTCATTATTTTAATCGAGAGAAGACCATCACTAGAAATAGACAGGACTGTTTCGTATTCAAACGCATGCGTATTGAACGTGATGCAAATCTCCATGAAACACATGTTGCACCATCTTATAATTCTATGTCTACTGAAAGAACACCGAAGAAACGATTTTGCGCTTTCGAAGCATATTCACCAAACAACACACGAAACAGATATGTGAAGTACATAAGCGTGAGCAAGAGCGTGGGACAGATCCGTCTATTCCTGATTATTACTATTACATCAATAATTGCTTGAAAAATCTCATAGAAGAAATTCTGAAGAAAAGACCAACATCTGGTACATTTGCCATAAAAATTCTTTACAACAATGCGAAACTACATATGTATAAAAATCTTTCAAATTGTCTTGAATCTGAAAGTATAAAAATTATTCGACAATCATTGAATTCTCCATACTTGGTACCGTATGAGTTTTGGTTATTCAATCTGATCAAAGTAAAACACATTCGTTACATCGTGCCGTAACCAAGATCATGAACTAAATCAACAAAGATGCTTATGAAAAAAAAACTTTTGATAAGTGCCTAGAACGCATACAATTGTATGTAAATAATCAGGACAAATACATTGAACATTTAATGAAACAAAATCTAAAATATAACTTGTTTGTGTATTTTTTTTTCTTGAAAATCTCATTACTTTTGGTGTATGCTATTTAAACAAATCGATAAAACAATCATAAAGCTTTGTGAAGATCAATTTTCAAGGTTTCGACATGAACGAACGAAATAAAAGAAAGCTAAGATGAATATTAATTTATATTCGATTACAACATGATCTACATAACTTCAATATGAAGTGTCAATATGTTCACCACACGTTCATATTTGATTAAAAATATTCTTTTCTATTTTGATTTGAAGCCATATTCTAACTAGATTATTGAAAAGTAAATATGAAACCTAATCAAATCATCTTTAATATGTCCTTCGGACATTTTTTAGATATGTATACATATATATATATATATATATCAATCTCAAAGTCGTCATCAAATCAACAATACTAATATTATTACGGATAACAAATGTCCTAGGATATTGCTAAATATTAAGTCTATAAGTCCACTATCTAAGATCATTTGGAATCGGCAAGCAACTGTTACTGATAAATTTTTGTTATGTATATTTATGATGGCATTTTTCTGTAGGCGATGATGTGTCATTATATGAAGATAAATTTCCTTGAGACATTTTCTAGAAAATAAATGTTTATTTGCTCGCTAATCGATAATAAATTTCGAAAAGAGCAACAAAAAAAACGACAGTTAATATTAAGAAAAAAAGAGGTCTATTGTATACATTAGATTAGGAAATTTATTGAATCGATTGATTTAATTACTTCTAATATTCACAAGGCTATTGTTTACGAAGTCTGCAGATCGATGTAGACTACACTTATCTGACTTGAAATTTTCTATTTGATCATAATTGTCTATCATAATTAGAATAGGCATATGATGCTTTTAGTAAATATTCTCTAATTAATATATGAAATGATGTGCCTTAGAAAAAAAAATGTTATGTGCCTGTCTTGATTTCTTTTTCTTTTTTTCGTCTATCTCTCCTCTATTGTGTTTAAGATACAATACATCTAGACAAGTGATCGTGAGAATAATTTCTTGTTTGAACATATCACATCGAAGTATTTGATTAGAAAATGAACGATTGGCAAATACTTCTTATGAAAAAAGCATCATGTCTAAACTATACAAGAAGTTGATGAACGAGGCAAATAGCATATAAGCATTAGTACATGATGATAGCCCAATTGCACTTAGAAAAAGAAGAAAGCTATGTGTATATGAGTATGTATATATACCATGTCTAATTGCCTAAAAAGCAAACGATCTACGTAACGATTTTCTTCATTCACATCGTTATTGTTCACTTTACCCCTATTCTTCCTCTTTTTATTCTCTTAAATTTGATTATCAAGTGGTATGGATGAGTAGTATTAGTAGTACGACAAATGACGATGATGTTGCCCGCTTCATTTTTCTGTTTGTAAAATACATCAGAGTAGACAATAGAAGGAGAAAGTCCGCCATTTTGTATACTACCCTCGAGGCGACGATTGTCGCCTCAATAAATATATTAGCCTGTTTCTCTTTTTGCTGCCTTTTCTTTTACTTCACTGCCACATTCGCGACAACACTTGTCAGCGATCCTGAAGCCTTTGAACAGTTATATGAGATTTGATTTCGAGGTTATCTTGATGCCGCAGCCGCTCCCATTGTTAGTCACACTGAATTTGAAATCTATCTATGTGATCGGTAGTAATGTTGCGTCTGCAATGTCTATGATATAGTTGTTCGATTCTTCTTTTCTCATCGACGATTATTAGTAATCAGTATCACAATCAATTCTCCTCCTCTCTCCCTCTTCTTCGCTCTCTCTCTCTTTTCGCCTCTGGTTGTACTCTTTTTTCTCTCTCTCTCTCTTGCTCTCGTTTTCTTCTCAGCTTTTTTTTGTTCTTATAGAAAGAGAGCGCAAAACGAACGAACGAACAAACGAGAACAGAGCTGATGAATGTCCAGTGTATATGTGTATATGCGAGTAACGTGTATGAGTAAAGAGCATCGTCACTGCTACTTCTCTTGCTGCTGCTGTTATTGCTACAACTCCTTCTTTTCATCATATAACAATTATCGCATTTCTTCTCTTATGTATCTGCTTGCCTGCTGATACTCGTTACCAGAACCCATACTTACAAACATATAACCAAAATCTACTTTATTATTACGACTAATGTTTAAAGCCAATCGACAAAGGCGAATCGTCGCATCAACAAGATGACCCTACTTTTATTAACGTGTAGTATTTACGTTCTTTTATTATTTCAGTCACATATTATTGGTGCATGTCCATCTGTTTGCTCATGTCATGGACCAAATGTTGACTGTAGCAATCGAGGACTACAAACAATACCATCTGGTATACCACGGAATGTTTTTAAACTGTAAGTATTCTATTAATGTAAGAAAAAAAAAGATAAAATTGCTTATTTGACCTTGATATATACATATATAATCAATGAATAAAATGAGAAGGTCCTAATCTCTTTTGTTGAAACGTGTTTGCATGACGATTCAATAAGATTAACTTGTAAGAGAGTAGGGCAACTGCACAATTCATTGCTGATGATGTCATTACGCACAATTGAATTTTTGCGAGTATGTGATTGAATTCTTAAGGTATATACCAGTGTGATGTAAACTGGAAAATGAGAGTATAAAAGAGAAGTCGAAAAGCTTCTCACATTTCCTTTCCCTTTTTTTTTCTGTTTTCCTTTATCTGACTTGAATGTATACAGATGGATTTATATGTCCTTCGTGATAGAGACGACAACGCCGCGTCGTTTCGCTCCATTGACAACTTTATGTTGATGTAATACAACTGTTGTCATTATGATCGCTCGCCTGTCATTTTCAGTTAGTCTCGATAGATTTAAATCTTATAGAATAGGTATATATGATCTTGTATGTACCTAAAAGTGATAAAGATGTCTTCATGTAAAAACATAAACAGACAGATAGACTGTTCCTATGTGTCGATCTTTCCGCTCTTTTCTTCGTTTTTTTCCCTTTGTAATGCCGTTCATTTTCTGTATATGTTGCGTCATAGAATCTTTTATGCAACCTTAATCATAATCGGCAAGTATTTATATCAATCTTTAAGCACGGAACGGAACAAATAATCAAAGTATATAGATATATATATATAAATGTATATGCGTGTGTACTTCTTGCTAACGTTGCCGTTGACGCGTATGCACGCTCTTTAGCGTTCTCGCCAGGTTGAGATAGATCAATGAACGATGTATAAAAGAGATTACGCCATACACATGCTATTCGTAAACAAAGCTAAAGCGAATGCCAAGTGTTTTTGTTGATCATATAGAACAACAATCGTTTCTATGTGTGTTCATATATACATATGAATGTTGAGAAAGAATAAAATAAAGTATGCACGCACACCTTAGCTGATCGTAGACAAGATTGACGCACAAGCTTTACCCACATATATAGATATATGTGTTGTTTTATCGTTCGCTTTTTTCTTCTTCATGTGAATCATTTTCTTGTCTGCATATTTCTTCATACAATACGAAAAAAAAAAAGGTCAATGCTCATCAATCGTGATGCAACTAGGGATCAGGCACCTTAAAATTCGGACATGATGTTTAAAGAAGAAGAAGAAGAAGTAAAAATCGCATAATTTCTTTCATATTTCAAGACATGAATATTGTTTCTTATATTGACCTAATACCTCTGTTGTTCTACATAAAAAAGAAAAGTTCGTG